CGACACACACACACACACACACACACACACACACACACACACACACACACACACACAGGGCCTCTAGCCCAAATAGCTAGAGAACCACCCCTCCTCCACAGCATCTCTGCCACTGCTGCACACCCCCCATGGATGCACTCAGATTAAAAGCCAGGCAGATGAAATACCGACTGCTGCAGCAGCTCCAGATCTGCACAATGGGGAAAGGACACAGGACAATAGACAGGATTCCACCCTGCTAAGCCGCACAGAAAAAGAGATTGTCTCCCAGCCAGGCAGCATCTGCAGCCAGCCAGCCGCAGGGTCGGACATGGGCAGAAACAGCAGGGCCAAAGCGTCCAGGATAAGTTGGGGCGGAGACCACAAAGCACACACAACCCAGTTTATGGGACCCAGGAGCTCTCTCTCACACCCCACCAGGGCCAATGCCTTCATCCAGGACCCCGGTCCACCCCCATAGGGCCGTGCAAACCCCAACCAAGCCCTTTACTGCTGTGAGTTCAACACCATCACTCCCCCAGCCCAGGAACACTCTGCGAGTCATCTTCAGGCAGGAAACAGCTCCCTGGTTTATTCCGTTAACTTCCTAACAAGAGCAGCCGCTGCTGGGGTGACCTTTCCCTACCCGACCCAGAGAGGCAGCCAGCTAGAATGGGATCCTTCTCGCACCACGCCGGGGAGCCAGCCCAGCCCTACAACACAAGGGGGGCAGGGAGGCTTCATGCTTGGAGGTCGCCAGTGGCCAGGGATGCAGAAGGACAAGGGATCGTCCCACCAAGGCTGTACTCACCTTTCTTCTTAAACAGAGTCAGGAGGGAGGGGAGGTTTCTGCCGAGGAAAACCACCATCCCAGCGGCTGGTAGGCTCTGGCGCCAAGGGACCCTCCGGAGATGGGGCTACGCAGCCAAGAACTCCTGCCACACCGGGGTCCCAGCTCAGGCTGTTGCCTTTATCCAGCTGCCCCCCAGCATTCAGCATCCCCGGCGCTTTCTGCTGCCTCTCTCCTTCACGCTCATCTGTGCCTCGGGATCCGGCAGGAAGATGCACAAAACCAGCCGCACAGAGACGCTGCTGGTGCAGCAGCCTCCATACAGAGAGCGGGGCTGGAGAAGTGTGAACTCAAGGACAGGGAGAGGAGCGGGGCGCAGTGGGGGGAGGGATCTCATCTCCCTGGGTCTCTGCATCTCCTTGGAGGCCAGCAGGGGAGTGAATACCAGCCCCCAGCTGTTCCAACTGCACAGTCCATTCATTGAAAAAGAAAAGCAGCCCCTCCCCTGCACTCCCCCAGGCCCAGTGTCTGGCCCCGAGCACAGATGCTGCATCCAGAGCGGGAAGAGTTCAGCAAACGCTTCCCACCCGCCCAGCTTCCAGGAAACTACATCCAGAGCAGCTGCCTGGAGCGATACAGCCTGTATGGGCCGCAGGGCAAAGGCAAGAGGGAGCCAGCCTGGGAAACCCCGGGGAGCCGTCGGCCTGTGCCCGTGGAAATTCCAGTGAGCCCTTTCGCTGGGCCCTGCTGGAGGGAGCAGACCTGTTGCTCTCTCCCAAACCCGAGTTGGCAGCTGTCAGGAGCTAGCAGATTTTCAGCTGGAACTTCCACTCTGGCGTCCGGGGTAGCAGGGGCTGTTCCTGGACTAAGGGCGAGCCTTTGGGACAGACCAGGGCGATGAGGCAGAGACAGTTCAGGAGTAACTATCCCCAGGCTTGGACAGACGGACGGACGGACACACACACACGCAGTCAGCAGGGAGATGGACGGTTGTTCCCAGAGCACTAGGCAGTTTCACCCTGGTTGGCACGATCATCCCCTCCCCCCAGCTCTCGGATACCGCTGAGGGAGGGGGAACCATACAGAAAAGCGACCCCAAAGCAGATCTAACCGACTAGCTCAGGAGGGAGGAGAGTGGCCCAGGCAGCTCCCTCCCCATGTGCCGAGTCTGCAGAGCAACCTCCCTTCGGATACGGGGCCGACTTCTCTTTGACTGGGGAGGGGGGTGTGCAAGAGACCTCATCACCCAGCTGAGCAGGACATCCCTCCACCCCCACTCCTGCATATGGAGACAGTCACCCGGGGCCTGTCCCACCCAAGTGACCAGCGGTACTCCAGGGAGGGCACGACCCATGAACGCACTGGCCAGGGAGTCTGGAAGGCTCTGGGGGGAGAGGGAGCTGGGGAATTAGCATCAACCAGCTAGCAGCCCGACGGTCTGATAACCATCCCCCCGCCAAACCCCTGTGGGTCGCAGACCCCGTGGGTACTACAGAAACACCTATGCAGGGGGGAGCCTGTTGAGTGACTCAACTATTCCTGGCTCTGCCACTCACTCCCTGGGACCCTGGGTGAGCCACAGCCCCACGTTGTGCCTCAGTTTCCCCATCTGGAAATTGATGCTGACCTGTCTCCTCTCAGAACTAATGAAGGCTTGCAAAGTGGTAGGGAAGTGCGAAGGGTCACTAACACAGACACAGGTGGCGCTAAGGCCAGGGCTACACTAGAAAGCTTTGCTGGCAGGGTTATACTGGTAAGCTCTCCAAGTGAAGACACAGATTATACCGGCAAAAGCGTGCTTCTGCTGGTATAGCTTATACTGGTTCCCTGAGCGACATAATCTGTATCCACCAAAGCACTTTTGTGCCAGTAGAACTGCGCCTACACTGGGATCTTGGACAGTTTAGAAATGCCATACAAAAACCAGCCACCGCCCAGCTGACACGGCTAGATCAGCAAACATTTCTCATGTGGACCTGGCCTGAGCCTCACAGCCCCCTGAGAGGCAGATCAGGATTATCCTCATTTTCCAGAAGGGGAAACTGAGGCATAGCAAGGGGCTGTAACTTGCCCAGGGGGTGACACGGAGCCTGGCAGAGCCAGGAATAGAACCCAGAGGTCTTGGCAACCAATCCAGACCACACTCCCCACACCTCCCCCCTACAACGGTGCATGCCCCTCACTTGTCAGCATTCATCTCGGTCCCTCTCCAGCACTGGGGTCCCTTCCTCTCAAGCTCTGCTCCCTTCCCATTCCATGGGCATCACAGTTCATTCCTGCTGGCTGGCATGGCCCTCCCCCTACCGCTCCTGCTCTTCTGAGGAGCTGAACCTCTGCCTCTCACTGCTGAATATTCATCAGGACTCTGGAGAGAGGATCCCCGGGAAGGGCAGGCCAGCACCATCTGGCATGCGGGGAGGTCCGGGCCGGGTCTGTGGCACAACCCAAGGAAAAGTGCAAGAGGCTGGCTGCAGCTGCAGTGCGGAGAGACAGAAGGGGAGTCTGCTAATTCTCCCTTGCAGTGTCCCTCATCCGGGGGGAAACAATGCCTGGCAGGGTGTGGGGAGGACACCAGGCAGCTGGGATCAGAGAGCGCTGAGGAGGAGGGGGCTGGAGGGCCAGGCACCAGGGATGGGGGACTACGGGGTGGGAGAGGAGCCCAGGGCAGGAAGGGAGCAGAGGGCTCTGTGTGCCCCTTCTCGCCCCCGGGGTACCCCACAGCCCCACCCTGCACAGGCTTCAGCTCCGATCCCACTAGAGAGTCATCCTCAGCCCCAGTTCGGAGGCTCATTTTGTAAGTCCTGGTACGTAAGTTGTCTCTGCACCCTGGGGTGACCGCTCCCTGCTGCCCCCAGCCCTTAGACACAGGGCTCAGAGGGCCTTCCCTGCAGACCTTACAGACGTGCTCCTGTGGGATTCCTCAGCACTGCCAGATGGGTCAGGCACACGTCCCCGACCGGGAGCACATGGGGCTGTTTGTACACGTCTCACCGATGGCTCCGTCCTGTTCAGTGTTCGGAGGAAGGACAGAGGTTGACCGCATCAGACAAGCTGGATCCTTGCCAGGAGCATGTGTCCTTGAGGTAGCTACATTAACCGCGTGGCTGCTTCACTCTGCCTCGACCCAGCACTATCTTCCAGCCAGAGCCTAGTCTGCGTGATGACCCCATATGTCCAACATACAGCTCGTGCTCCAGCAGGATCACACTGTAGGGAGCGAAGGACGTGCTCCAAAGTTATCAGGAGTGGGGGATGGAGCTGAAACTTCACCCAGAAGGCACTGGGCCAAGGTAGGAAGAGACACCTGTTACCCAGGTGGTGGGGATCCCCATTGCCTTGGGGTTAGCTCACATAGCGGGGTAACGAGAGAGGCAGCATTAGCTAGTGGTTTGAGAATGGGGCAGGGAATCAGGGTCAGGTTCCCGAGTCCTACCCCTGGCTCTGCTGTCAACCTGCAGCACGACCTTGGGCAAGTCACCTAACCACTTTGTGCCTTGGTTTCCCATGTGTAAAATGGGAGGTGATGACAGTAATCAGTGACCCCCGGGGCAGTGGGATTGACTGATGGTCACACAATGTAAAGTGCCAAGTATCAGCAAATTCACGTTCCCTAGGAACGTGTTGTCAATATGGTACACACCATGGCCACTGGGAACCTCATGCCAACCGAAACCAGGCCCCTACAATGAGCTAAAGAATCTCCATCAGCTGTTCGCAGTACAGGGCTATGACACACAGCGGAGCACTTTGAATTACATCCACTACTAGAAGACAATGGCATGCGCAAATAAGCCAGCGCATCACACTACTATTACTACAAGGGCTTCACTCCTGTTTACGGGTTTAATTCCCTGTCCTTCCAAGTGAATCTGAATCTAAAGCGCCTCTGAGGCCTAGTGGGACAGGCAATGTACCCTAGTGGATAGAGCTGGGACCCAAGAGACCTGGGTTCTATTCTTGGCTCTGCCACTGGTCTGCTGGCTGACCATGGGCATGTCACTTCCCCCTCTCTGTGCCTTGGTTTCCCCATCAGGAAAGTGGGGATAATGACACTGACCTCCTTTGTAAAGCCCTTGGAGATCTGCTGATGAACAGCGCTATAAGAGCTGTGCATTATTGTTATTAACAGCACATCCCCAGAAAATGGAACTCCCTGCGAAACGATAGTTTTAACTGAAAGGTCCATGCCAACACACATTCCAGTTGTCCTCCCTCCCACACACACTCTAGTAAAGCTCGGTTATTTTCAAACATGCAAAAACGCCATTCTGTCTTGGGGACAGCACCTTCTGCGGCACAGCCCTTGTCAGATGCAGGTGGCGGGCAGTGACCGGGGAGGGGAGCGGAGCGGGATGATTACAGAGCTCAAGAAAGGGCTGATCCCTTGGAAAGCGTGGGGAATTCTTTTGATTTCCACCCAAGCTGTAATGGGAATGCGGACAGCCAACGAGAACAGAGCACTGGCATCTCCTGCAGAGCATCAGGATGCACTCAGCTCAGTGCATGGGGGGCGGCTGGGTTCTCCCTTGGCAGTGTTCAAAGTGGGGTAGGAGGGATAGATTTCCCTGCCTTTGCTGGGGCTCACCCCTGGCCTCTTTGGATCTTCCTAAACCACCCCAGCCAGAAGGTGTCTGATCTCTGGTTCATGACGATGCTTTGCACCAAGCGGCAGGCAGTTTCCAAATATTTTTTTCTGTGGGAGGAGATTCCCCAAACTCTCACTTCGCTTCCCCTCCAGGGAGAAGACCCTCCAACACCTCCCATTTCCCCACCCCTGCCGGTTCCTGAGTCCAAACACGCTCTCTGGCGTGTGCCATTTAATTACCCCGGTGAGACACCGCTGCAGACTGAAAGGAGTTACCCAAAGCAGATGCGGAGCTTTGCACCGGAATCCATGTGTAGGTGGACAGTGTGAACAGGCAGCTCTCCCCTCCCACACAGCCCTTAGCTTTGCCGCTCTGTGGGGCAGGGACTGTGGTTCCCTCCCATATGGACAGCACCTTGCACATTGTGCATGTCACCAGCAAACACACAGCCGGAGCTACCCCCAGCCAAGCGGCATCTTGCATAGAAAAACTTCCCCAACTTCTAGGCAGAACCCACGCTGGTGCTGGTACATTGCATTGCGCTCTCCAACAAGTTTCCCTCTCTCTGAGCTCACTATCCCTCCGCCCCGCTCCTGTCAAAGCCAAAAGCCGGACACCCTCGAACGTCAGCGTGTGCAGGATCAGGCCCTGCTAAATGAACACTTACACAAAGGGACGGCATTAGCTGCGGGTTGTTTTCACAGCCCAAGTGGAATGCACTATAATTAAAAGGGCTGATAATGCACAAAGCGAGGAGCCACGTGCGGCGTTGAACACTGCCCTGCTCCTCTCCTTATGCTGCTGTTGCAACACATCATGAGTCATCACGTCAGCCACGGCGAACAGCGGGCATTGCTGCCAAAGGAGATGCTGCCCCGGGTCCCATCCAGTGCTGCAGGGAAGCAGAAGGGCATCCCTGCTTGGGAAAAGGGCCTCCCGTCCCATTGAGCCACAGCGGAAGAGTTCCGCTCGCCCTGCACCGACTGAACGGGAAAACCAAGCTCACCGGCTGGCTGCCACGCCGGGGAGCAACTTTGACCACCATAGCCCACTGTGTCAGCAGCACAGAGAACACATTCCACTTTAGGGTCCAACCTACTCTCCCTTGCTACGGGAGGAAGGAGCTGCATGACTCACAAACCCATCCCCATGTTTACCACCTCTCGCTCTCCCACATAGGCCCCCAGTCCAGCAAGGCACTTAAGCACATGCTCACCCGAGCAGTTCCTTCTGAGTCAGGGGAATGCCCGGAAGTGCTGTGTTGAATCGGGTCTGTAGCTCCTAGAAGGATATTCCTCCATGCACATACACAGACCATGGACATTGATCTTAAGTTTAGGCAGCCCCATGCACGCCCAGGGATCCATAGCGCTTTGCAAACGTTACTCGACACACGTCGCAGGAATCCCATCCCTGATCTCGGGAACACAGCCAACTCTAGAGTGGAGCATGGCAGCTACAGGCAAGTGACCGGCAGCAGCTTAGGGCAGGAAGCGAAGGAGAGGTCTGTAGCCACTTGAAATTGCGCAGGCAGGATATAATTATCCAAATTGTCATGTGGCCAGGACACCGGCGCCAACGCCCCTTTCCTCATACGCAGAGCCATGAGATCGCTAATAACCACAAAAGGTCAGGCCCTTGGGTTGACATCTTGTTGGACAGGGGATGCTCAAAGCATGGGTTTCTGGTTCTCTCTCGGTACCTTACGTGGCTGCTAGAGTCTAATACGGCCACAGCTGCCCTTTCTACAACCCCCAGTACTCCATTCCCAGAAAAACAAGGGTTGTAGGCATGGCCCTACCAGCGCCCTGTATTTACGTACAGCACAGCTAGAAATACTGCAGGGTAGAATCCCCCCTCCGCAATACCCACACGGGCTTGGGCTCACCTAGGAAATGGACCAGCAAGACAGCACAAACTCAGCTGAAAGGGAAGACAGACAGACAGACAGACAGAAGTCTGAGCCTTTAGCGGAAGCTGCTGATTTTCACGGCTGAGGAATTTAATCCAGCTGCAGCCTGTGCTGGTAGCAACATGTCCAGATGTAACTGACATCTCACTCTCCATATGTCCTTGGTGAATTGCCCTGGATTTGCTCATCCCAGCCAGTACACACCGCTGGATACACTAAGTAAGGTCCAGTTCAGAGAACCGTGTGTCTGGTTCGCATGAGCTCCCAGACTGGAAGCGAAGGAGCAGAAAGAGAAATCCTTCTGGATGAGGAAACCTTGGCCTCCCCATGCTGGGAGGTATCTCGGGCACAGCCTCCTGGAGTGGATCCAGAGGCCATTAGCTCAGGCAAACAACTACAGACTGCAGCAAGAGCTTGGCTTGAGAAGGACTTTGGGATCTGGCCCCACCCCAAAGTAAAGAGATAGAAGCACTCTACACCCTCCCCACGGTGGTTTTCTCCAGAGAAGAGAGCACCAATAAGCTGGTTTTAAAAGCCAACTTTGCAACAACTCTGATAGACCCAGCCACAAACCCTAATATTCCCTCCTAACCTGGGACTTTGGCTCTCGCTTCTCAACCAACGGAAGTGCAGGCCCAAACTTAAAGATTCAAGAGATTCCAACTTCTTGGATCTCAGCTGCCCATACAGGCCCCAAACATCGCCATTCACCCATCCGCAGGCCACAGAGCCCACCGTGCCCATGCACCCACCCGAGCTGCACCTTTACATCTCTAAGGACTCTACTGTGGCAGGCAGCCATTTTGTGTTCAGTCCAGTGCAGATTGTCACAAAGGCGCACACACACATTGGGCTCTCTCCTGGAGGCTTTTGCTTTTGTTCTTTCTTGTTTGGGGTTATGCTTCATCTAAAACAAAAGATATTCAGGCTGAAAGTCTGCATTTGGTCTTTGTGTTTGGAAAACGTAACACTCAGGTTAATACACTCTCAACCCTACCTTCGTGTTAACTAAGGCTTTGCCCAGGAGTACAGCATCAGAAAAACTGGGGAAATCTTAAGTATTGTTTTAAAAAAGAGGTTATTTCATAAAATAACCCAAAATATTAAAGGAGGGAAATTTTGCCTAAATCCCCTCAACAGCTGGGAAGAGATCACACAGAAATGATTGGTTTGGACTGCTGACGGGAGAAAGAGAAGAGTC